CTGATAGTAACCCTGTGACACAGGTTACTGTGACTGACCCATTTCCACAGATGAAAAACTGAAGCTCAGAGAGGTTGTCACTAGCCCATGATCTCATAACCCAAGAGTTGCACTCATAGTTCCTGACCACTGTCCTCTCTGGCCTCCCCAAGTGCTCCCTGCCACACTCAGAAGCCTGGGGCCAGCTCGGCACTTCTACGACTGGGGGGGACCAAAGCACAGAGCCAGGACAAGGTCCAAGGCCTCTGGCATCCCCTTGCAGGTACCCCTGACCCATACTCTAGGTTGAACACCCACCCAAGAGGCATGGGGTTGGAAGGCCGGCCTGCTACCACAGTGTCCTCAGAACCTGCCTCTGGCTCTGTCCAAAGGAAAGGGAAAGCAGGAGTTGGTTTGCAGAGAGAGAAAAGACCAAGAAGGGCCCAGGAAAGATTTGTCCTTACAGGACAAACCCTCAGGGTTCGGGGGTCCTCAGGGCACCCTCTCACGCCCCCTACAGGTATTGCCCCTTCAAGAACAAGACCATGTTGGCCCAGGACCCATCTCCACCCATGTCTCTGCTCCCCCCGGTGTATGCTCTGACCTAGCACATCTGACTTGGAATCCCCATCTCTCCCCAAACCTGCTAGTCCAGCAGATCCCCCTGCCTAGGCAAACAGCAACCCCGTCTTCCCTCTGGCTAGACTCCTGCCATACACACTCTCTCTTTGCAGCCCGCACCCCCTACTCCATCAAGCTCAGCCTGCACAAGCAAAATTCTGGGATACGGCGCCTACACTGAGTGTCCTCTCGGCCAGTCTTACTTCCACTCCCCGTCTCTTCTCCCCTAAGGAAACCCACCTGATCCCTCTCAAATGCATGTCCAAACAGGTCAGACCTCCACCCCAGACCTCCAGCAGCTCCCCCTTTAGGCAGACTGAGCAGTCCTCCCACAGGGCAGCGAGCCTTCCGGGGGGCCCGCGCACTCCCTCTCGCCTGGTCTGCCATCACAACCGGCCTGTTCTCTCTGCCACAGGCATGGAGTGCCCTGCTGCTCCTCAGCTTCTCCCCTCACCTCCTTCCTTGAGGGCCCTGCGTGGCTGCTCTGTGTGCGTGAAATGCTCTTCCCCAGGCAAGCCGCAACTCCCACCCCACCCCTGGAACTGCTGTCCCCTTACCTGAGACTTTCCACCATTACCTGACGCAGCGGAGCCCCTCCCACGCATCACACTTTCTATCCTCAACCAGTTTTATTTTTCTCTCAGGCATTTCCCACCACCTGACAAATTGCTAGCGTCGGACTGGCATGTGTTGGTTTGCTGGTTCTGTCCCACTGCTGGAACATCAGCCCCAAGTCCAGAACAGGGACTAGGCTGTTTTAGTCAGCACCCTTTTGGGCTGGAAGACAGCAGATGCTTCATAAAAATGTGTTGGCTGGGCCTCCCTGGTGGCGCAGGCAGTTGAGTGCAGCACTGTGAAGCTGTCCGTAGACTCTGCAGTGCCGGTTCGCTCCCCGCCGGCCTCGGAGAAACCCACATGGCAAGCAGACCTCTCCTGTGTGCACCCGCTGCTCCCCTCAGCAGTATATTTCGTCAGTCTGCCTGTTCTGTTCCCCGCTCTGTCTCTGGTGAATCCTCTCACCCTCCCGCGCATCCGGCCTGTACCCTGGTTCTTGTATAAATAAAATAAATCTTTAAAAAAAACAATGTGTTGGCTGAGGGAATGCTGCCATCCTCCTTCGGGCACACCTTTGGGTTCCTGCAGCCCCCTAGAAAACCAGGGTTGCCTGGAGGGTGACCTAACATGCCACCTGTGTGAGCTGAAACATGAGGACTGTCACGTGAACAGCTGCCAGCCAAACCCACACCCTGCCCTGGAGCAGCTGCCGGCTTGGACCAGGACAGGACTCTGCATTTGCCCCTATCTGAGACCTCAGCCCATCCTTTGGAGGGAGAACTGGGTCTGATGGGCCTATGGATGGTGCCAGCAGCAGGAACATGGGTCGGCTTGCTGCTGTCTTCCTGGCTGCCAGGGCTGCAGGGTCCTGCTTCTGACCTGTGCCCCCAGCAAAAGGAGGTGGAGGAGGGAGCCCAGCACCACGCCTGCCCTTTTCCTGTTGTCAGCAGGAGAACCATCAGAAGGAAGCTTTGTTCTCAGAATAAAGAGCATGGAGCCCAGTGCCAGGCGGAAACGGGCACAGAGGCAGCTGGCCCATTAGAGACAAGGAAAAATAAAAAAGTGGGATGGAGGATGTCTAAGGGGTAATTTGCACACCCAACCGGTTTCATGTCTCCAGGGTGGCTGTGACAATGGTGGCTGCACTGTTCCAGGCCCCAGACTCGAGGTCATCACAATCACCCAATTGTCCAAGCTGCCCTGTAGCGGGAGGTAGGGATAGGGGCAAGTTGCCTTGTCCAGGGCTCTGGAAGCCTGGGGGCCAGGCCCAGCTGTCCAGGCACACACGTGCTAGTCAGAGGGTGCCCTCCCTCTATATACCTCAGTCTGCCCATCTGTAAATGGCTTTCCGCACCTATCCTTGAAGTGCCAGACTGCCTGCCACAGCACCACACAGGGAGAGCCACTCAGCCTGTGGCCAGACCACTGCCCACCCCCCAAGCCAGTCTTCCACCCTATTTAGGTGTAAGCCTTTTTTATGGGGCCTGACACTGGGGCATAGCCCTGACCTAGCTCCCAGCCTGCTTCCTTCCTTGGCATTGAGGTGCTCCTCTCCCGAGCTGTTACCTAAAGAAATGAAACAGTTCTGCTCCTGGCCTAGGTTAAGGGCAGAACTGGGGGCCCCTACATACCCAGTCACCGGCACTTGTACCATCCCCAGTTATCATTTGCAAGGATGGCTCACAAGATGCAAAAGTCAGCAGGAAGAGCCCAGCAGTGTTGCACAGAGGGCCAAAGAGAAGCCCAGAGAGGGAAAGGGGCATACTGTTGTCACACAGCATTGCTGCCATCCAGGCATCTTCCCTTCCAGCCTGGGCTCCATGTCCTCAAAGCACATGCACAGATCCCAGGGTATAAATCTTTTGGGGCTGGGAAGGTTGTACCCTAGTCTGAGGGGCCCAAAAAGGAGGGTCAAATGCAGCTTTTTATAAGCTCCCAGGCCTTTCCTGTATCCAAAACAATTGTATCCTCCTAGCTATGACTTCTTCCAGAAAGAGACATCTTATCTGGGTTGAAGAATGGTAAGGATTTCAATTAAAAGAGTAAAATAAACCTTGGATGGATAGACAGCTGGACAAAGGTGCTCATGCATAAAGCATGCACTCTAGGGAGAGAATAAAGCAGAGAAAGACCCAAAAAAGAAGACCTTCCCCCACCCCACCTCCCCTTACCCCATGTTCTCCCAGGATTCAGCTCTGGACTGAACAACCCTGAAGGCTGATCCCTGCCTCCTCCCTAAACTCCTCCAAACCCAGGTAAATGTTCCTCTCCTTGGTTACACTGTAGGCCATGTGTGTTGACTATTTATCTGCTGCTTAAGAAGCCATCTGGGTCAGTGGCAAAGCAGTCCCATCTTATTGGGGAGAAGTATTCAAGGACCTGACGGCAGGCAAATCCTGAGGCCTCTATCAAATGGAAGCTTCACAGCTGTTGGGGAGCACCACTGTACATCCTCCTTCATAAAAAAGCACTTATTATGCTCCCACTGTACCCATGGACCTGAGCCTGAGCACAATGCTTTGAGGGACAGAAGCTTTGAGGGACAGAGATGAGTCTGCCTCTACCCTCGGCTACCCTCAAAATCCCACAAAGAAGACAGACAGGGCATCACATGACATGGCAGGAGAGAAGGGAGTCCATACCTTCAGGGTGGAGTTGAGAACTCAGATGCCTAGGGAGCCAGAAAGATCATGTAAGTGTGTGAAGTGGCTGGGTGGGGATGGGGCAAAGTGGCGTGTACATGACTTGTCTCTAAGAGTGGTCACTGGAGAATGTAGGCTCAAAGTCTTCAGAGCTTCTCATATTTGAATTAAAGCCAGGAGTGGGGTTTTTTGTTTTGTTATGTAAAATCTCCTGTTAGCCACCAGCTCAGTATTTGGCCTGGGCCAAACAAAGTCTGCCCACAGGACGGATATGGCCTGCCAGTTTGAAATCTCTGTTTTCTTAAAAAGGACAGAAGAGCACACTGTGGCGCTCAGTAGAGGATGACTTCCCTGCAGCTGAGGTATCAGGGAAGACTTCCTGGAAGAAGAGGCATTCGTGCTGGGCTGCAAGGATGTAAGGGGAGGGAATGGTCATAAACATTTGAACCAAAGTGCCATGGGTGAAGAATCTCCCCAGCCAAGAACTTGCCTCTCCCCCCAAAAGGAGTCCCTGTCTCTGTCCCCAAAGCAAGCAGAGGCTGTCTATCCCCAGGTATCAGGAGGAGGGGCCACCCGGCCAACAAAACCTCTGGACTAAATCAATCAGCACAGAATAGCATGGGCTCAATTTCATCCCTGGAGCTTGCAGAACTGGTCAGCTAATGCAACAGCTCTACAGGAAAGGGAGAGAAAGAGACAATGGAGGACAAAAAAACAAGGCTGAGAATCCCGTCCTGCCTGGCTTGGCCCAGCCAGTTACATAACCCTGCCTCAGGACAAAGCCTCGCTCAAGGCACCAGGGAAGGCTTGGGCCAGGGAGCCCTGAAGTTACAGAGGGTTCCCCCTCCCTCCCCTGCCCACCCCTGTTCTCCAACCTTGCCCTGAGGCTCTCAAGCACAGAGAGCAAGATTCCAAGATAAAGTACTTAACAGGATCACACAGCAAATTAGCAGCAGAACTGGAACTAATAATAATAACAGCAAACTTTACCAAATGATTGCTTTGTATCAGGCAGTATCAGGCTTTGCACATTTAAAGCCTGTAATACCAGAGCTGTTCTTGTTATTCCCATTTTGTAGATGGAAACTGAGGCACAGACACAGGCACTCACCCTGAGCCATGCAGCTGGTGAGTGAGCTGGTTAGAAACCAATGGCAGCCTCGCGCCCACTCTCTGAAGATTGTCATCAGGCTGGGGACATACCTGCCCCTCAGCAGCCCTCTCTTCAGTCTCACTGCGCACATACAGCCCCCTCGGCCCCAGTCGGCACTTCCATGGTCGCCCAGTCCTCTGACAACCTGGTGGAACTCACGGATTCTCTCTGTGGAAAAAGAATGCACAGAAATGCCTACAAAATGCTGTGCCTGGTTTTAGGGGCCCATACACCCCTGCATGGGGTAAAGATCGTGGGATAAACATGAGCAACAGTTCAGAGGTCTCTAGGTCCCTTCCTGTCTGTGAACTTGAAGCCCAAACACAGGGCCACCTAGTCCACAGCCATGGACATGAATCAGCTCAGGGCCTAGTCACCCCCAGGGCTGGGAGAACATCAAGACACACAACAGCCTTCGCCTCTGCACCTACTGAGAGTGACTCAGTGCGGGCTGCTGGGCACCTGGCACACAGCTGGGCCCCAGCATCTGGGCGGGGGTGGAATCTCCAGGGACACCATTACAGCCCTCTCCCTACAAAGCAAGTCACCACCCAGTGTGCTCACCTTACTGCAGACAGACCCAGCCCTGGCCCCACCCCGGCAGCTCTCAGGAGTTCCCAAGGGGAGGGCCTCTGCAGGCCCTGCCCAGCCTCCACACCAGCCCAGGCCCAGGGAGCCGTAAGACAGACAGACCCTGCAAAGCACCTGAGCACCAGAGCCTAGTCCTATGTCCTCGTCCTCTGCTGCTTCATGGTGCCGCCTCATGCTGCCCCTCCCAGGCTCCCCAGAGCCTCGATTTCACCACCTGTCAAATGGAGAGACTCCCAATAGAGTCCTTCCCAGCTCCAAAGCCCTGAGTCTATAAACAACAGCATCTGCCAAACTTCATGGAGCTGTGGGGTCCTGCTTTCAGGAAGTTACATAAACATCCTCAGAGAAACAAAAGTCAAACCTACAGGCTCTACTTTTTTTGTTTAAGGATATCAAGAAGCCTTTTTTATAGTCCAACTTCCCCCATCCCACTTCCATTGTTCCAAATATCCTCTCAGGACCTAGAAAATACATTTGGTTTCCGTCTGGAGCTTGGGCTTCTTGGTGTTCTTCCTCTTGGAAGCCACCCCACCCCTCCTTGGCAGCTTTCTCCCCAGGTCACACCCATATCTGCCCCCAGCATTGCTCCGGGCCACCCTGAGGGCTACCCGGCCTGCCCAAGATGGGAGATGGAGCAGGAACAGATTTCAGAAATGAACCCTTCCCTGGTCAGGACAGAGAGAGCTCTGTCCCATTCTGCTCTAAAACGTGGCCTGGTGTGGGTAAGCAGCTGTTCCTCTCTGGGCCTCAGTTTCCCACTGAAGAGTGGAAGAGTCTGGAAAGCCCTGGGGACTCTGAGGCAGAAAGAACAGCAGGATAGACTGTGGACTCTGTTCTTGCTCCCTCACTCCCTCCAAACTTCAGAGGAGACCCACTTTTTGCTCTCACTGTCTCTCCTGCCTTAGCTGTGGGACCTTGAATTCAGCCCTGAGCCTCCCAGTCTGAAACAGCCTGCGCACAGAGCAGGGAGAAGGACCATGTGTCTGCAGGAGAGGCCCCAACTTGGGGGCTTGAGGTCTAACCACCCCAACACAATCCTACCCCTAGAAAGGCCTGATTCACTCATTTGGAGACTGTATTTGCTCTCTAGAAAACAAGCTAAATTGTGCCTCCTATACAAATACTTCTAGATAATCCCCACTGCCCTTCTTCCAGTGAGTTCACGCTTCTAAGCACCCCTATCTAATTCTATAAAATTCCAGATCTACCACCTTATAGCTAATGTGGTCTCTATAAAATGGGGCAATGATGATGCCTACCTTATAGGATTATCCTGAACATTACTCCAGATGTGGCTGCATAAGAAGCGTCCAGTAAGCACACTGATAAGCACACTAATAAACATGAGCAGGGAGCAGGTACATGATCGGCATCATTAAAATACCAAGATGCTGAAAACCACTACGGTGCTGGGATCCCAGTCGGCACCATAATGGAACCATATGTGCCCCATCCCCAGCACACTCTTCTGCCCCACCTCAGTCCCAGAACAGAGGGCTACATTCCTGGCACCCACCCTTGCCACCTATAGAGACTCCCCAGTCTTCAAGCTCCCCAGCATAGTCCCCTGCAATCATGTTGGGGTTCTAGTGAACCCTATCACTATGTCCCAGGTTGTTCCCTGGGAGTAAAAAGCTGTTACATGTTACAGATGGTGGCTCCTTGAAGTCAGGGTACAGAGAAGCAGGGATTTCCTCTGGGCCCCTCACATTTGCGGGTGTCTGAAGATGCTGAAAACATATTCTCCTTGGACAGCCCAAGGAGAGAAGCATCTATTTTTTTTAAATTACTTAAGCAAGTATTTCTCAATCTTTAGCATGCATCAGTATTACCTGGGGGGGCTTCATAAAACAGTCTGCTAGATTCCCTCCCTCCCCACCCCCCACACGGTTTCTGACTCAGTGTGCCTGGGGTGGGCTATGTAATTTGTATTTCTAAAGAGTTCCCAAGCAATGCCAAGGCTGCTGGCCCAGACACCAACTTTAAGAACAACTGACTTAACTCAGGTGAATCAAAGAGGGCTCTGGTGAGCAGGTGGGGCTAACGCCCCTGTAAAAGAAAAGCAGGGGCTGCTGGGATGAGGAGATGGGAAATCAGGCAGAAGTCACAGCGCAGGTCCTAAAATGACAACACTAGTTTCTCCTCACCTGGCCTCTGCCTGGGCAGGTCGATGTACGCAAGGCTGGCAGTGTGAACCAGAGGTGGCTGCCACTACACATTAGCCATAGCAAACACCCTCCCCCTGCACCCCCAGCCTAGGCCTGCCACCCTGAGGCCTGTCTGGACAGGCCATCCTCCAAGAACTCGAGGAAGAGAAGAAGCCCCGCTTCAGGTCTGAACGGGTCAGAGTCCCCCCACCTCTTAACCCCATGGTCTCCAGGATTCTGCTTCATGGCTCCAGACACAACCCCGTCAGTCTTGGCCAACTCGGATTACATTTCCTCATTTCCGGTGTTTAACATAACAAGTCTGTCTGTCTGGCCAGAGCAGCCCCTCAGAAATCAGCAGACAGCGACTGTAATCCCAAGTCCAAACCTCTCCAGACTAAGCATCCCCCTTAGGTGCCACATCTGCTAAAAGAGGATGAAAACCCGGCCTACCTCCTACGGCTGCTGGGTAGTCAGTTCTGCCACCATTAGCAGTGACAGAAACATTAGCCACAGAAAGCGCCTTCACTGATGTGAACTGAGCTTGAAGTGAAGCCCTTTCCCTGCATTCTCTCCCCAAACATGTGAGATAGGGACAACATTACCTGCTCTGTGCAGATGGAGAAACAAACGGCTTGCCCAAAATCCCACAAGTAGGAAGTGGGCTGGCAGGGATCTGAACACAGATCCCCTGGCTCCAGAGCTGAGCTACCAGTCTCTGCCCCATGTCCAGATCACCTGTCCCGGGACCTAGCCCAGGTGCCCTCCCACCACTCTCTACTCCCCTTCCCTGGGCACCTGTCCACAGTGCACACATCTGGTTGCCCCATCCTAAAGGCAGCCACAGGACCCACCAGCCTGGCCAACTCAACATGGCCACCCGAGAGCCTGGGCCAGCAGAGCCTGAGCACTTTAAACCTAATGAAAGGAGAGAAGAGGAAAAACAGGTGTGACAAAGAGGAAATCGTGACAGCTTCCTGGATGAGCAACTCCCACACCCCATGCAAATCAGCCTATCTCTCCCGGCCTCTGTTTCCTCATCTGAACAAGCCTTCTCAGGCCATCAGACAGGAAGTTTGGAAACTCAAACTCCAGGAATCTTTTCCCACACCTATAAAAAGATAGATCACCTTGGAAGGAAATAACAATAGTAACCATTATATCCTTGAACAGCTTCTGCTTAGGAGACTCTTACAATGGGTCAGGCTCTGAGCTTCACAACCTTCCTAGCAAAGAACTATTACTATCCCATTTTGTAGCGGAGGAAACCTACACCTGGAGAGATTTAGGTCGTTTGCTCTAGTTCCCACTGCTAATGGTGGCAAAGCTGGGATTTTGAACCCAGGACTCCTGACTGTCAATGGCACCCCACCCCACCCCAGGTGCAAAAATGGGCCACATGTAGCCCCTGCCTCTGGAGCGGACAGCCTCAAGATGAGATTCCTCTTTAAAGAACCAGTATTCACAAGCAGGTGGGTGAAGGGCCCCAGGGAGGTCCGGGTAACAGGCCCTATACAGGCAAAGCAAAGCAAGGAGCGGGCAAGGTCAGCCCTGCAGAATTAGGAGTGCTGCACAGAAGTGAGAGATAATCGGGAGAAATAAGAGGCTGGTTCTGCTTGAGGGTTGCAAGGCAGTGGAAGATAGAGCACCAAGGTCTCAAAGCTGGGCACCTCCCATACCTGGTCCTCTAAAAAATGCACATTTTTAAATCAGACTAATCCAACCTGTATGGAGAAATAAGATAGGTAGAGATAAACAAGGTCAGGAGGCAACTTAAACTTTTCTCCATGGAGGTAAGAGTTTTGGGCCCCTCTGTGACTCCTTTGGTGACAGACTGGTTCTAGCCCAGAGGCCACTAGATCCAAGATAGCCCTGTCCGTCCCATCCACTGAACTCCAAAGCTCCAAACTGGAGCTGATGGGCAGCGCTTCAGTACAGCCCCACACCCAGAGACCAGAAGCCGCTCCTTGCACCTCTACTGCAGGAAGGAGGCGACAATCCTGCCTCTGCACCCTACTCTCTTCAACCCTCCCGCTCCTCACTTTCAAACCCACCTGCCCTTTCCTCCAATCCCTGCTGAGTCAGCCTGATTCATGACTCAGTCTGTTTCCCCACCTACGAGGAGAAAATGAAACCCATTTCACAGATTGAAAGTGGAAGCAGAAGGTTTCAGTCTTCTGTGAAACCAACCACACACTGCACAGCCAGGCTCTGGCAGCTGACCCAGACATCCCATGGGGCCCTTGAAGCGGGGCTGGGCTCTACACCACAGGCTGGGTGTGCATGGAACTGCCCCAGATGTGCAGGAGGGGGCAGGGCGGCTCCATAAGGCTACGAGAAATGCGGGGGGCAGGAGGTAGGTGGTGTACCACCCCAAATGTTGAGACTCTTGGGTGAAAAGGGAACTGAAAGAGGTCACCAGGGCTGACCCTCCTGGTATATGCCTTCAACTTTGGCACCTCTGCATACCTTCAGTGATAGACCCTCACTGCCTCCCCAGGGAGCTGCTCCCTGTTAGCGTCCCCGTCATCCTTGCTGCTCTCTCTGCCCCTAGGAGCCCGCATGACAAAACTATGCCCTCTGCCCACAGAGAGTCCTGCAGGGACTTGAAAGCAGCGACACTGCCTTTCAAGGGTCCTTGCGCTAGCCTCAGAGCACCTGGGATGACCCTGATCCCCAAGGTAGCCACGAAGTCCCACAGTCTCCCCTCTTTCCTTCTCATTCCTATGCTGTGAGTCAGGGCTTGGGGCAGTGTTCTGCTGGACCACAAGCAGCATCTCCTCTGAGCTCATTCTCAACCCGACCCATCCTACTCCCCCTTCAGCCAAGTGACCTCTCAAAAGAGCAGTGCAATAGGGCAGAAACCGTTTGGCCTGGGTTCAAGTACAGCTCTCTAAGTGACTCGACCCCTCTGAGCCTCCATTTCCCCATCTGAAAATGGGGCAGGGGTGGGGTTCCAGCAACAGCAGCTACTTTGCAGGGGTATTGTGCGATCTCAATGGGGCATCTGTAAGGATCCTGGCACAAGGCACAGTAACAGGCATCGACTCAACGGAGCTGCTTACAACCCTCTGTCCTCTCTGCCCACTACGGAATAAAATCCAAACTCCTGAGCAGGATACGGCAAGTGCTCCATGACCTGATCCTGTCTCCCCCTGCTCACTTCCCCACAGCCTGCATCCTCACAAACATTTCCTCCCCCAGGAAGCCCTATCGAAATTAACAACCAGAAGAGCTTTTCCCCTCCACCAAAGCCCATCTATCACTGATCATATCCTGCCTCTTCACCTCGCTTGCTCCTCACCCCCCTCGCCCATTCAGATCAGATCAGCCTCTCAGTCAGAATCCAGCAGCACCTCACCCCATCTCTGTTCCCCGGCACCCTTGTCCACAGACATTTTCCATACATATTTAACAAATTACCCCAGCGTTCCATTTCAGCTAAAGAATGTCCAAGTCCTCCAAACAGCCAGGATATTTCAAGCCAGCAGAAAACCGAATTCCAAGCCAGCAGAAGCCGGCTCAGTCTTTAGGGACTTGTAGGCCTGACTGTGGTCCCAGAATATGGAAGATGGGTACGGTGTGTCCAAAGCCAAGGGCAGAGAAAGCTCTCGGCTGGAAAGATCGGGGCCTATTTTCATGTTCTTCAGTTGCAGAATTTCTTAGCTACCCCCCTAGACCAATCCCCAGATTATGATTTCATACTCAGGACCACATCCTCAATTTGGGATTGCAGAACAGCTCCTTGCACTCCCCTGGCTGACAAAAGTCTCACTATCCATCTTTTCTTGCTTGCTGGCTCCGGCTCTTCACCTGTTGATTCTCCAAGGACTTCTGCTCCTGTTCTGATCACCAAGACAAGGCACCCCCATCCCCTCCACTCAAACCCCTATTTTTCTGAATCCCCTCAAATTTCAGGGGATTTCCATTCTTGTTCCGGCAAGCTGACAATAAGCTGTCAGCCCAGGTGCTCCCCCTCTTCCCAGTGCCCAGGAAACACTTGTTAAGAGCAGTTAGGAGAGCAAGGTACAAACTTGCCTCTCCTAAGAACTTTCATTAGCTGCCCCCACTCCATTAAGATGCTTTTTATTAGCTAAAAATTTGGTTTCTGCTTTTAAAGAAGTGACTCCAGGCCCCCAGCCAGAGCCTGACCAGCAGTCACGAGATGGTATCCCGACCAAAAGACTGGGCCAGGCCAGAGTGCTAAAACCAGTGGAAGTCTGGGCCACCCACACATTATTCCTGAGATCTTTACTGGGGGGCCACACTGTGCCCCAAGCTCGGAAGACCACCCACACATGCATTTTCCATTAGGATTCTGCAATCCTGACACTGCCTCGAAGCCCATCCCACATGACTGTCAAGGCCCTTTGGGGCTGGGGCACCTATAGCAGCCTGCTAGTTTAGCAGTGAGGACCCTGCTAAAACCAGAGGAATCATAACAGAGGATACCTAGGATACAAGTCCCTTGGCCTTAGGTCTCTCATGGCACCAATGGCTCCACTTGGAGGCCCTATCTCTGGCCCCTATTGATCTGAAAATCACCTGGTCTGAGAGGAGATGACAGGCTCTGCAGTCCCCTGGGTGCCGGAGAGAGACCTGTTGACCAAGCCACCAGCTGCCCCCAGCCGGAGCCAGGGAGAAGGGTTCCTTCCCTGCACCACCCACACTGGGAAAGCATTCCTGCCACCGACCCAGCCAGCAA